AAATACTTATAGATTATCTAGGTGCAGCCTATATACTAGATTTTAGAGAAAATCTATTAAGTAGTTCTCTAGATCTAGATCCCTGTCAATCGCGATTTTTGGTGAGATTTTGACTGGCCCACATACTGGGGTGGCCCGCTTACTGGTGAAACACGTTAGTATTAATATAAAAAGAAATAAGTTACTTATAAAATACTATTAAAGTTTTAATAAAGTAAAAAATATATAAGTAGTATAATATATAGATAAAGAGATCTTAAATAGTTAACTAGATAGCTTATTAGATTACTAAGATAAAAAGTAATAAATATAATAATAGTATAATATCTATAAAGAGAGTACGTAGTAAATAGTACTATAGATATTATAGCTAAATTAGATATAACTTCTATATATACTAAGTAGAATTAGAGAATATAGAGAATAGTAATATATCTAAATAATAATATCTTATTTTACTTAATACTATAAATTATAGTAGTATTACGTAATACTATTATAAAGATATAATAGTCTAGAGAGGTAGCCGAATTACTAGGGTGGCCGAATCACTGGTGAAACACGTTATCTGATGTTACAAATCCAGTGCGCTCCACATGATACTTTCCTCAGAGATCTCTTCCCTGTCTTGTACAGCACATTGATATGATTACTCATCTGGCGATCGTCGTTACTGCAAGACTGTTATACTCGCGCGTGTCAAGTAAGACGCTACTGTACAACATTCTGCGGATGCAAGTATCCTGAACTTAAAGTCTTTGAGACGCTAACGTCTGTTTTCTACTGTGTCATGATTTGATAACAAAGTTCACTGCGTGTACTGGCTTTTCCCAAAATAGCGTTCTTTGCCTCGACAAAAGCTACACAGAAGTTTGTGTATATTTACAATACAATTCATGTCTGAGATCGCAGCCTGCTTGTCATGCAATGTCTTGGAATAAGAGTCAGATGTTGGGATGAAGAAGGTGAGGCGAGTTAGCAGGTACGGCAACGTGTTGGAGAGAGAATCTGTCTGCGTTTGAGAAGAACGTTCTGTTAGTTCAGAAAGAAAACAGACGAGGCTGGTCAAAGACGGATTGAAGAAAAGGGGGGCCACTGCAAATTGAGCGACGAGAAAAAACAAACATCTACAAATTTGCTTTTTTCTCAAGTAGCAACGAGACTGCAACAGTGATCTTGAACCTGTTACAGTCACATGCCATGCCGGAACTCTTAGAGGCTCTTCGTTAGGGTCGAGAGTGTTGAAAACAAAAACCTGATTGCAGCAAGGTGCACTATCTGCACTGATATGAAGTCTTACTTGATTATTTCAAAGATTGGTCATGTTAATCGCGCAGCTGAACAATGCAAATAATAAAAGGTTGGTTTGCTAGTCTCCGAAGAAAAAGGATGACATACCACAGACAATAAATGAGAACCCTCGTATTTGTTTGACATTTAGTCTTGGTACCGTGTCCCCCCCNCCCCCCCCCCCAAAAAAAACCAAATATTGACCAAAAAGGATACATATGGCAGCGGAGATTCGACAACGATCACCTAGCTGACTACTCATCCGCCGGAGGACTGACTGTTTGGGCTATCTCAAACATGGTGTAATTCTCCTGATGGAAATGGTGGCATTGAAATGACGATGAGCCAGTAAGCATGGTGGAGGCAGCATGGAACAACGTCCAAAAGCAAGTGGAAGTCACTTGAATTCCATATATCGCAAGGATGGATACAAGGCACTGGTGTATCGGCGTAATTGGAGTCGAAAAGTTTGATTTCTGTGCAAGAGGATGAAGTGTCGTTGTAATAACGTGCTTGAAATTTACCAGGGTTCTCGACATGGGTAGCCGATAAGTAAGACAATGAAGCGTCTTGCGGGTACGCCCCGTTTCTATCCCCGTCCCCGTCCCTGCGGCAGGATTCCGAGTGCCGGAATCTTGGGATGAGAATTCCTTGGGTGTTGGAACGGACAAAATCGCACTGTAGTGGCCAGTTGGAACGCCACTCGCCAGTGACGGACATAAGTGAGACTATGGCGCAGACTTGTGGCGTCTAGTCGCGGCGTCTGTTGGGGCAGCATTAGCTCTACTCGAAGCTGGGTGGGATCGTGTCGTACGCACACAGAACCTAGGAGAAGACTTGATCGAACTGCAACACTCATGATACTGTTGTGACGTCTCGGGTCCCAGATGCGACCAATAGAGATATGCAACCTGCTCTAGTATCTAGCCTGCGACGATAGTATGGCCCCAAATAGATTCGTTGAGTTGAACCACTTCCAAATAGACATGACAGCGTGGGAGACGGGTCCTGCACAGGGAATTTGGTAAACCTACCTTGTCCCTGCAGTAAGAGCCCAGTGCAGGTGCATGGAGGCGAACTCTTCGAGGGACTTTTGGAAAAAGTCCGAGCGCATACGTACAGCAAGCATCTTCAAAGCCCAACGACATTGGTCGCCTATACTAATGATGCGAGGGCATGTCTGAAACATGCGCCATTCGAAAAAGCAGTTCAAGAGAATGGTAGTTTTGAAGTCATGCATCTTTCCCATTGGCATCGCAGAGTGGCCAAGATACTTGCGCAAATAGGGATAGTGGCTTGTAAGGAACGGTAGGAATTGCACCAATCCAAAGCCACGGGTGACGCTGCTCTGCGATGATAGGAGAGCTTCATTTGGGTCACATGCTCTTCGCAATACCTTACGGAAAAGCTCAAGCAAATGCGGGTCTTGTCTGTCATCCGGCCGTTCAGAGTACTAAGCGAAAGTCGGATAGGGTACCAAAGCACGCAGTCGGGAAGGCTCCAAAATCCAGGGTTCAATGGCTAGTGTTTGCCGCTTGGGAGGACAGGGCTCTCTGCTTGGATCTGTCGCTCGCCGCGCACCCAGTGCATGCCTCGTGGAAGCCAAGGGATGAACAAACTTTGTACCCTTGCACAATTAGCACGCGACATGAGTGGGTCAGTATCACTGCCTTGAATGCTGAATGGTGGTAGGTCAGAGAGAGATTTCACAGCGCTGAATGTAGCCTGCGGATAGTGCGAGAGGGGGGGTTTTTCGGCTGGTCTCTGGTAGACTCGCCATTCAGTAGCGCCCGACAAATGTTTTTCAGGGTCGGAGGAATCTCCCGACGACGTGGAAACTGGACTGCTTTTGCAGCTAGATGGTCAAGTGCAGGATCTCGGGTTCGGAAGCTTGCCTAAGCTAAGGCCGCTCCAACCCCTGTTGTGGTGGTGGAGGGCCTGAAAGACGTCACTCTAGGGCACTGGTTATGTTCCAAGGATAGTTCTTGAAGAGAGCGCTCATCGGAGACGGGAAGTCGACCCGCTGCCGTCAAACCGGTCACCTATTTGAGTGACTATTGAGCTGATACGAGGCACAGTTGTGCCGAGCGGGCCAATACATTACCCTATCAGTCAACGGCGGCTAACACCTTTTCCCTTCTGGCATTGACTTTGAAAAGGAAATCAAGGCAGAATTATCTTTGTGGCTGACTCGGGTTAGTGGTGCAGACGCAGCACTAGGGACAAAGTGGTGTGAAGACGCAGCGTCTTGCATTAGCGCCCATGGGTGAGGCTGGTGATGGACTGGCAGTTGTTTGGTGACCGCATTCGCACTGTCGAGTACGAACGGAGCTGAGCGGCCAAGACGAAAAGGAGGCCATTTGACGGCCCCACCAGGGCACTGGCAATGGCTGCTTTCCGTGACGGACCAACCAGAGCCGGAAGTCCGAAGTCGCTCAGGCGCGCTGTCTACGAATGTGGCTTGAGTCGTTGCAGCGTGCGCTGGATGTGTGTGTGTGTGTGTGTGTGTGAAGAAGAGCTGGAGAGCGTAGCTGGCACACAGGTGACGGACCCACACAAGTAGTGGACCAAAGCTCATACATACGTACAAGACACATGAGCAGTTGAGAAGCGTACAGGCAGAGGCGTATGATTGCAGAGCCTGATAAGGACAGGTAAGCTCAGCTGGCTTGGACCTTGTCAGGACTTGCAGCAGACATGACGACAAGGCCTAGAGACTGATAGTGTCGTCTGGACATGGGATACTGGAGAGAGTTCACGTTCCAAAAGAGTCCGGTAGGGTGGTTGACGCCATCAGTCGATCCACGCCATACCCCTGCACCCAAGTTACCCCCCTAGCAGCCGAGCCAGGTATCAGAGCCAACAGGGCCCGGTCGAGCGTCGAGCGAGCAGCAGCAGTAGCAGCAGCAGTAGCAGCAGCAGCAGCAGCAGAGAGTGGTGGCAATTGACCTCGCTGTCTTGACGCCGACAGGGCGAGTACTCATGGGCAAGTCATCCTCAGCTGCCGCCATCGACCAGACATGTCCAATGCCCAAACGCAGGCGCAAACTCTAACCAGAAAGCCCATGTACGTAACCGACAGCCGCACACATTGTCTTTTGTGCCTTGTCAGCACAGCACAGCGCAGCGCAGCGCGCAGCGGAGCGCAGCACCAACAGACTTGGCCATGTCGAGACAGAAGCAAGGCAGGCTTTGGTCAAGTTCCGCATACCACGCCTCCTCTTCCCTGCAGCCCGCCACGCATTGCCGCACGAGCAAAACCTTGGGCGCCACAGATGACGGTGGTGGTCATGGTGGTGGTGAGGATGGGCGTGGTGAGAAGGGTGACAAAATCCAGATGAACAGCAATGCCAATGACGATGATAGCGACGATGATGATAACAATGGCGGCGGCGGCGGCATCGGCCGCGGTGGTAGTGATGGTAATAATACTGCCGTCGCTTGGGTGTGGGGAAGGCAAGAGAGCCAGACAGAGGGTGGACAAAAGTTGCTCCTGGCCATGTGAGTGTGAGCATCCTCGGCAAAGCATGGACGAGGTTAGCTTCAATTCACCTGCAGTTCCTCGCCCCCGTCCGTCGCCCACAACGCTCATTGCCAAACAACCTTTGACTCTGCATGCATCGCCCTTGAATCAACCCCAGGCACGCCGTCTGCCAAACCCCCTTTGGACTGATGCCATCTTACTCCAGAGTACAGTAGGCAGTATAGCATGTACCCCTCTCCCTAGCCTACCCGGCCTCAGATCCGTTGATCCCTCCACAAGCCCGCCCCCCATCTTCATCTCTATTCCTGCGGGCGGCCCTCTCCACAGTCATAGCGCAAGCCTTCCCTTAACCCCCTGTCTAGTTCCACCTCTTCCGAAGACACATCGCACCACCGCTGCCGAATCGAAACATGCCTTTTTGCCCTTCCCTTCTAGACATCCCAAAGTCCGTGTCCACACCCGTTCTTTCTGCGCCATACGCCCATTGCTCACCCTGAATCAACCCACCCCCCATGTACCTTGCCATCTCACACGCCCCCTCCCTCCCAAGAAAAGTATAGCCCCAATTCTAGTTCTAGACTATCCATACTCTGTCTGGTTTCTTGACGCCTGATGTGGCCGTCGTGGGCGCGCCACCATTGACCTACAGCCTCCCGTCCTCACGAACAGCGGCAATAAGTGCCACTGACTCCCTTTTTTTTTCAACTTGACCAGCGGCCTCTGGTACCTGGTGCGTGCTTCCCGCCATCGTTATAACTAACTCTAGAGCCCTGACTCCACATGGTTCCCGTCGGCCTCGAATACCGACCCCGTTTATCTGCTTCGGTTTCTTATACGAGGCCTTGACCTCCAACAACAAGACCATACTTTTGCTACCCCATCAGTCAATTGACAAGTTTGGCTGCCTGGTCGCTGGTACCTCACTCAAAACTTCCACTTAGCAGTTTGGCTTTTTTGCCAAGTCGACCTTCTCCGGTCTCGCTCTACCCGCCTCCCGAACAAACCAACAACACTTCGCCATTTCTTGCTGCTGGCCCTCAGATCCAAGCAATCCCGAGGTATGCCATCCATCCCGCCCTACCCCTCATCCCGCCTCCATCTTCACCCTACTAAACCCACTCCAGTATCTACTCTATCCTGCCCAGTCTCCCCATCTCTTGAAGAAATGGCGAGTGCTCAGGCGGCAGCTTCATCCTCAGGAGGTGCAGACGAAGTCCCACCAGCTGGGAATTCTGGGTCTGCATCAAACCCTAAGATGAGAAAGAGGACGAAGACTGGCTGCCTCACATGTAGAAAACGACGCATAAAATGTGGTGAAGAGAGACCTACCTGCGCAAACTGCATCAAGTCCAAACGCCAGTGCGAAGGATACAACCAAAGAGTCATCTTCAAGCCACCCATGGGAGACTGGCCAAACCACCCAGGGGTAGTCAGTACCATACAGTATCACACTTCGATGCTACCAGGCACACGCAATCAACCATATCGAGGGCCAGAGCCAAGTGCCCCTATATCAGAAACAACCCTCACCTCGATCCAGCCACGACCAATTGGCAACTTCGACTTCCAACATGTCGACCCACAGCCAGGTGCTGGGCCTCCACCGCCGCCACAACCGTTTGTTGGTGGCAATCTCAACTATACCCACGAGCAGACTTATCAACCACCTCTACACTCACCACCTCACCAACAGCCGCTCATATCTCCCCACCACCAAGCACACACCCACCCATCGACCGTATCATACTTTCCCCAGCAATCTCCTGTGCACATAAGCCCGCCAGAGCAGCTTAGCCAGGGACCCAACACAAGTCCTCAACAACCATTACCGTACAATTCCGGCTCTTCATATCCACCCGTCTCTGTTCCGTATAGCAGTGATCACGAATTGAAGCCAGTGGGCCCTCCGCCTCTTTCTGGCCAGCAGGTGTATTCACACGCATATCGATCGGATAGCCTGCAAGATCCTGACAATGCTTACCAACAGCAATCTAGTGTTTCGCCACAGAGCGATCAGTTTGCTCAAAACGCGGAGGCAAGGCCGGGCTTTCAGCGATTTAACAGTCTTCCCCACGTTGCTCTTCATTCATCGCAACCTGAAGGTTATAATTTTCAACCGGCGATTTCACACACTGACTTTAGCTATCCAAATTACTCTGCCGTTCCGTTGCCTTATGATATGAATCAGGATGTAAAACATATGCCACAGCCTGTTCTCGGTATGTCTCGTGTCTAGTTATATACTTCTTATACCCCAATGATTATTATTATCTTTTTTTCTCTTCTTCTTCTCATTCTCCGTGTCTCAGTACCGGTGCGGCATCACTTAATAAATGTGGTGCATACTTTCTAAATCCTCCAATACAAATTGGAATTAATATCGTGTCCTAATAACTAACGATGTCATCAATATGGGAACGAGCGAGATGGCTGACTGTGATGAACAGAAGAGGTTACACACGTACAAAAGCCCCCAGTATCCCACCCACAACTGCTTCTTAGCGGATTCGGTGGCGAAGATCATGCTAGCCCTACACAAGTGCTCGATGAGGCGGCAGTAGAATACGAGGACGACGATTACTGGGACGTTCATTCAGATGAAGACATGATTGATGCAGAGACTGGGGAAGACGAGAATGCACTGCTCACGAGCCAGGAATTCAGTGCTATCCGGCGTATACATTTGGAGAACTCCAACGAGCTAGGGATTCGACGATACGATGCCTTTTTGTACGATGGCCTTCTATCGCACTACAAGCCTGAATATGCGGCAAGCCCCTTGCGCAACCCGAAGACAGCCCGAGTGTTTGCACATTTCATTCATGTAGTAAGTGAAAAACAACTTCTTGGGTTATGTACTGTTTCTACTGTGAAACATATACTCTCTTGGATTAATACGTACTTCGAGACAAGTACGAGCAAGTAGCTGACCAACCTGACAGACAGCACCAACACTATCGATTTTCGAACGAAACCCAAGAGACCCGACTTTGATATTCGAAGGCGCAACGCCGCCATCTCAGCAAGGACTATGGACGTACAAACTCCCATTGAAGGCTTTGAATCACCAGGGCCTGTTGCATGCAATGCTGGCACTTGCCAGTCTGCACATTGCACGATTGCAAGGAGCGTCGGTTACGCCATCTTACAAGCATTACGCATACTCGCTCAAACGTCTTGTTCGTTCGCTCTCACATCCGACAAAACGTCTATCCATGCTCACGCTGGCCAACTCCTTACTTCTGGCGTGGTATGAGGTATGGACGGCAGAACACGTTAAATGGGGCACGCATGTTGTCGGCGCTCAGCAACTCATTACTGAACTCGACTTCCGCTCGCTTACTCGCGAGGCACGACGAATGCAGGCTGCACAAACTGCAATGGAGCGGCAATTCCCCTACCAGAACCCAGCGATGCTTATCGACCAAAGACAATTCGACCAGAAATTGAAAGAAAGTTCACTGATGCCAGATCAAAATCTGGTGAGCACTATTGTTGGAAACAAGGTCAATTACGACGACTTTGGCATGATTTTCGAGGACGATGGGGCAAGATATGATACGAAGCCAAGTATTGCTGGTGGTCTGGATCTAAATACCTATGCAACTCTCCAAGATCTGTTTTGGTCATTTGCTAGACATGATGTTTTCCAGAGCATCATAAGCGGAAGTGCTCTCATGTAGGTGGTCCTAACGATTTTTCAGAGTTGCAGCTAATTATCCATAGTCACCCGTATCACAAATGGTCTGATTGCCCTCCAAGATCGCCGCTCGGCCGACTCGATGCTCTATACGGCAGTCACGATCATCTTCTACTCCTTCTAGGCCGCGTTGCAGACTTCACTGTCAAAGACAGACCACGAAAGGTTCGACAAGTCGAAGCAGATGGTGGTTGGCAACCTCGACCCGGCATTCCTGGTTTTGGTAACATGGGCCCTCCAGGTGGTCCCCCAGGTGGTCCTCCGGGTGGTCATCCAGGCGGTCGATCGAATCCTATGCAAGGCCCACCACCAGGATGGAAAGGGCCACCCCCTTCAGGCTTTGGCCCGTCTGGCCCTTCTCAAGGCCCACCTTCTCAAGGTCCACCCTCTCAAGCAGGTCCGCCTCCTTCAGGCATGCCCAGTTTCTATGGAATGGCCCCAGCACCAACCTTAGCACCACAGATTTCCAGTTACGAGAATCCAAATTTTAAGGGCCCAAAGCAAACACCAGATATGCCTCAACCAAAATATGATGATCTGTCTGCTGCCTACGCCAATGCAGTCGCGGAATGGGAAAGTATTTGCGAGGCACATGCGGCAGTTGAGCGAGTGTTTCAGAACACAGAAGGTTTTGCTCCTTTGCCGGAGGATATCTACCCACCACCTCCGGGAGAAAGACACCACGCACAGAGTAACATGACACCTTTTGGGAAAGCCATTTCCCATCGAAGTTATGACATTTCCATCTTGTGGACGCTCCTCTACCTGGCTAAGATTATCCTCTTACGTTCCCACCCTGGCATGCCTCCAGCAGCGCAAATGGCAGCAGGAGTGTGTGCAGCTGCTACTGCGCCATACTGTACTCTCATCGGCCGTATCACAGCCGGATTCCAGATTCCCATCTCTGAGGACCTTTCTCCCTTCCTTGGTGCTATATTCACAGAGGCGACCATGTCCATGTTCTTTGCCGGTGTCACCTTCAAGGAACCCCATCAACGAGAGTGGCTCATCACGCGTCTGCTGGAGATTGAGCGAAGGATAGGCTGGGCTAGTGCCGGCATGATTGCTAAGGGATGCGAGTCGGTATGGGAGCAACAGGCGAAGATGAAGAGGGGGCCGCCCTATGTGAGGAGGACAAAGCGAACCATGAGGTTCAAGGAGGAAGAGGGATACGTTGAGGATCCGGAGTATACCAATCCGCGTGGTCCGGACGGCCCTAATAATGATGAGAGGAGGAAATGGGTGAGGGATGATTCGCAAAAAGAGACGAGATTTGTGTTTAAGAGTAAGCTACCTCCTTGGGCTATGAATGTGTTGAGTACAGAAGAGGATCTGCGAGTAGGATTGGAGAAGGTTGGATTATGAGAAGAGACGGAGCTGGAAATACTGCGATTCTGACAAATTATCAACCGTGGACATGCAACAATTGCAAAGTGGAATACGTTACGGGACGATTACGGGAGGAAAGGAGGAGTCTCTTCAATGGAGGAAAAGATACAGCGAGTTGCCAAGTCACGACACAACAGCGCTAGAAAGAAGAGACCAAAGCGAACCCAAGAGAAGCGCATATACCCACATAACGACATCGCCACTACTGCAGCATGCCATGCAGCCGATCGCGGCATGCAGCACGAGCGTTGGAATTTCTATGACGATCACGACCCTAAGAGCCATAATAACGGTAATGGCGATCAGCGCCAAGTTGGGCTAGTATTGCATACTCCCTTCCATATCGTTCTCTTGCACGACTATGCATCAGCACTCAAAATGGCTCTTGCCATATTTCCAAAAGGTACGACATGACAACCGACTTGTCTTTACACACTCGCTACACACAACCTTTCTTTCCCCCACTATCATTATCACACCGGCAACCGAACTGAACAAAAAAAAAGAATACCATCCCAACAAACTACCAATCCATCCAACCGGATCCTAGCCGGCATGCGCTTCATCTACCCCTGTTCCACTGCACTCTCACCTCGGCATCAGTTTACTATCTCCGACCCATTCACCCAGCCACCACTATCAAAAGCAAACAAAGCCAGAACCAGCAATATCCATGCTCACTCCCAAGACTGATGCCGACGCGAGGGGAGCACCGACCCAGGAAGTAAGACAAATAAGCAAAAGTCGCCATAGGATTAAAAAAAAATCAAACATGGAATCTAGGCTGCAAGTCCTGATGATCTTGTATTCGCTACGTAACGTAGGAAGCTTGTTGTGTCTATTTGTGGTTAGGATGCATAGCTAGTGTCAGGATGGTGGTAGTTGCTTTAATTCTATACTCAAAAAGTGAAAACCGATAAGAGTCTTGCAATACATATTCACGCACTCTTTGCATCTGCTTTTGTTTTGTTTTTTCTCTCGACGTGAGAGGAAAAAGTAGGTGTAGCAGTGCGGCCCGTGGGTATCGGCCCCATCGGAAGAGAAATGAGTTTCAGGTTCTCTGGATTTCGTCGTTGCAGTGGTTGGGCTGGGAGTGGGACGTGATGGAGACGGGGTGGGATATTGCTTTGGAGAATGATGGGATTGAAGTGGACTTGTTTGCTTGATCCAAGTCTCTACAATAAGATGGAGAAAGCAAAAGTCAGAGGCAGATTGGAAGAAAAAAGGGATGAAAGCATCTTGTGATAAAACGAGGGTGCCCTAGCATCTGTCTCGTGCATTATTCTCGTACTTGGCTCGCACAGACTTCTTCCTCAAGGACTCGGTTTCTTTCGCCAAAGACAACATTTGGTATTTGAGAAAATATATATGCCACCAAAAAAACGCCTCATTCTACAAATGCTTTGCAGTTTAATCACCAAACTCCCCCCCAAAAAAACCAACGATCGTAATTAATCACCCCGTCCAGCGCAGTTTAAGTGCTTTGGAAAAAAAGAGCCAACTCACCAGTGACAAACAAAACTCCATCATGATGCTAGCAACTCCTAAAAAGCGTGCGCCCAGTTTTTCAATTCACGCATGTGTATCGTACAATTTCAACCAAGACCACAGCTAACCCGCTTAGAAGAAGTAGTAGAGCAGACTTCCACTAGCAGTCATGAAAACACCGAACCACCACCACTGGTCTGACCTCGCAGCGCCGGGTGTCCTCTTGTAGATAACCTCGTGATTCAATGGGAGCTCGCCTCGCTTCGAGTTCTTTGCTGCAGCAGTCTGGGTAACGAGGGGGTTGAGGGTGGTGGTTGGCAGCATTTGAGGCTGAGCCATGGCGAGGTACATGGGCATCATGGGAGCGCCGTCGGCTTTGTACAGAGTGATGCGCGGAATCTTGGCGTAGGCGTCTGACGCAACGTATTCATAGCGCTTTGTGCATGTCAGCAATCGATGCGCGATAGGCGTAAAGGCAGGGGGTGAAAATCAATCATGGAGGATACGTACATCAAACAATTCAGTAGTGTTGTAGCGAGTGTAGGTGGAGTATTTGTATCGGCATGGATCAGAAAGCAATTGTCGGCCGTCGACCTTGATGGGGTTGAGGATGAGGGAGCCGTTACTGAGCTTCTCGTAGCTGCCGTGCTGCCATTGGATTATGCCTTTGGGGCAGCTGGGGTCCTGGGCTGTCGACGCTGTTAGTACGCTGGTCGCGATGCGCGCGCGATTGCGGGGTTACGTACGGTTTGCGATTGCGCGATAGTAAGCTTCCTCATAGAATCCGTCAGCTGTGAAGGAGTAACTGATGCCCGTGTGCTTCGGCTCGGTGAATTTCTCCTCGACGGGGTTGTAGAAGCCCTGTGTCAGCAATTAGCCTCGATCGTCCCGTGGATATCGCAATACGGAAGTCATACAGGACCAGTCATGGTTGAGTTTGACTTGCTTGTCCACGTGCCTACGAGATCCGCTGCCCCGACAGGCGTCTGGGCCTGCGCATGCAGCATTGCGACTCCGGAAAGGAGCAGGGCTGCTAATCTCAAAACCATGGCTGTGAGTGTGTTATGTGTGTGTCTGAACGAATGTGGGCAACCTGGCGAAGGCGAGAGAAAGCGAGCGTGTGGGTGCGGGTATGTATGTGTGTGGTCACGGAGGATGGTGGGTGGGTGTCGAGGGGAGGGAGGAGTGTGGTGAGTTGCGCATGTTGAGAGTGTCGCCGCCTCCTTTGCTTGGGACGAATGGACAAGGATAACGCGGCTACTTGAAGATCATCGGCGTGCCATAGGCAAGGCCGACCACCATTGCCCGCACCCGCATTTGGACCGTTCTCTCCAATATTATTGTTACCAAACTGCACTCGTCCAACAGCACGTTTGCTATTCACCGAGCCCGGCACTACTTTAGCCGCCCATTGCTGCTCGGGGGTTGCGGTCGCTCCAGCCTCGACTTGGCCGTCGCGCAACGGCTCTGATTCTGAAACGTCGTGACATTTGCTATTAAACGGGCACTAGATACATACGCCATGGCGGGGTCACTGGCAGCAGTCAAGAAGGAGTTGCGAAAAAAGATACGGACTATTCTCAGCCAGCTGTCTAATGCGGCTGCTGCTTCGCAAAGTACGTCACGATACCATGGCTGCATGTCGCTCTTCTGACGCCATCCAGCGGCCAATGCCACTGCCACTCTACTAGCCATGCCCGAGTACCAGGCGGCCCGCAGAATCAGTGTCTATCTATCCATGCCGGGAGGAGAAATCTCCACAACCGACATTGTGCGCAATGCCCTTGGAGATGGCAAGAAGGTCTTTATTCCATACACGTACACTCTGGACACGCCCGACCCAGGCCAACCAAAGTCCATCATGGACATGCTTGAGCTGCACTCGATGACTGACTTTGACTTGCTCAAGCCCGACAAATGGGGCATTCCAACTCCAAGCATAGAGTCCATTTCATCACGTGCCAATTGCTTTGGCGGTACTGGTGTCACAAACGGCAATACTGACGGCATCGAAGACGGCCTTGATCTGATCGTCATGCCCGGCATGGCCTTTGACGCGCAGTTCGGCCGCCTTGGCCATGGCAAGGGCTTCTACGACTTCTTCTTGACCCGCTGTCACCACGTATCGCGCATGCCTTTTCGCGGTAAGAACTACTGATATTCTGTATGTGGAGGGCTAACTGACCACGTCAAAGTTGGTCTTGCCTTGACCGAGCAGCTCCTTCCGCCAAATGAGTCGGTTCCCATGGACTCTTCCGATTTCCGCCTCGACGCCTTGATCACCGGCGCTGGCGAGCTCCGTCGCGCAGGGGCTTGAGCCTCTCCCATCAAGTTTGGTAAACAAAACCGTGCCTGTCCGCTCCATCCCACAGTCCTGCAATGCATGCGCTCTCTCATGTGTACGATCCTACAATCGCAGGAGAAACGTGTCCGTCGCTGGCGCTTATTGAAGTTGCTGGATCAGGGAAATGTTGTCTCCTTTCAACAGAATCTGGCCGACCTTGCGCCTCTCCTCGGGCGCGTCCTTCTTCGCAAGCGTGACTTCAATGGCGTCGTCAATGACCAGGTTCATGAACTCGTCGAAGCCCTACTCAGACGTTAGCTGCCTGGGCGTAGATAGCAAGCGGCCGTGGTACCCTCAGTTTTCCCTCGATGCGCATGCCCAGGTTCTCGTATAGCCAGACTGATATGGTCGCCCGTGATTGCAGAAGCTTGAAGATGAAGTTGATGGGAGGAAGGAGGACTACGCGCTCGTCAGTTAATGCTGCTGCACAAGCATGTGGTAGCTGTCGTACCTTTTCCTCCGCCGCGGCCTATACACGTTAGCTATGGTTTTCGCCCAATGACGGGACATACCGACCTCCACGTCCAGTCATGTTGTAATTCGAGTTACTGGTGTCAGGGTTCTGGTGTTTCTAAAGTCGGCGCCTGGTTGCAGGGTGGGCGGTAGCTGGTGGAGATGTAGTGTAGTCGAAGTAACATTTCTGGCGCGAGGGAGCGAGCGGTCACGGCTCTTGGCGCTAACGTGGGGATCTTTGACTGCCTATGCGCGACCAAACGCAACTGCCCATGCCTGAGCAAACTCACCACCCCACCACGCTGGCAACCACCACAACCACCCTCGCCGCACCCTAGCCGCCTGCACCTTCTGTCTGCCGGCCTCCGTCACAAAGCCAGTGCATGCGCGCAATATAACTCGACCCCGCCGCCTCTTTCAGAGCAGTATCCGCATCCGTTCCCCCACCATCACCATCACCACCCCCCCTCAACCATCCTCACCATGGCTGCCAACGGACAGCAGGTGTTCGACCCGGTGCTGGCGGCACACAACACCATGGCATCGTCGGCGGATCGCGCACAGAAAGAGCAGGCACATCAGTTTCTGGAGCAATTTCAGAAGTCGGTATGTACGGGTGTGTCGTTGTAGGGGCACAGGTGCTGACTGGCGCGCAGGAAGAGGCATGGACAACTACACTAGCTATGCTGGAGTCCAACTCTGCAGATGCGGCAGCTAAGCTTTTCGCTGCCACGACGCTCAAGGGCAAGGTAAGCTAGTGTTTTGCTCATCAAAGCGCCTTCCTAACAGCCGGCAGATTGTCTATGACTTGCACCAAGTGCCCCGCGCTCAACTTGCCGAGCTGCGAGCTTCTATCATGCGAAACTTGGCCATTTTCCACGCTGGACCAAAGCCCATACGCTTGCAGCTATGCGTGTGTCTGGCAAATCTCGCAATACAGATGACCGAGTGGAAGGATGTCCTCAAAGATATCGTAAACTCACTCGGCTCCGACCCTGCAACCTTACCTTGCGTCCTCGACTTTCTCCGCGTTCTCCCCGAAGAAGTCACACATGGACGTAAGATCGCACTCACAGTACGTCCGAGCGAGCCGCGCCCCATTTGCAGCCTACGGCAATTCCCCGCGGTGCCGACACATGCTAGCAGAGTTGTAGTCTAATGTGTGGTGGTCAGGAACACGAGTTGACTATGAGGACGGCCGAGTTGATTGAAGACAACGCCCAGCAAGCCCTGGAACTCCTCGTACGATACGGAACCTCTTCACGTACGTCAATTTTCCCGGGTTCCAGCCCACTCCCACTGACAGTTCATAGCTGCGGCCGCACAAAACCCCCAATTACTCCACTGCATCACCTCCTGGATACGCGAAATTCCATTGGACGCCATTATCAATTCTCCCTTGCTCAAGATCATCTTTGACGGCCTCTCGCAAGAAGATCCTTTTGAAGCTGCGGTAGAATGCCTGAGCGCCCTGCTTGCAGAGACGAGAGATGTCGATGAGACTCTCAGTTCCATAATGATCCTCTATCCCCAAGTTATCAACCTCCAAACGAAGCTCGCCGAGGCGGCACAAGAGGAGGATACTGAAAAGTTCAAGGGCATTGCAAGGATATTTGCCGAAGCTGGAGAGTCTTGGGTCATCCTCATCGCACGTCTACCGACCGATTTCCGTGCATTGGTCGAAGCAATACTTGCCATAGCCGCGCTAGACAAGGAAAGGGATGCCATCTCCCATACCTTCAAGTTCTGGTATGACCTCAAGCAATACCTGACACTGGAGAAATACGCCGAAGCCCGCAACCAATGCCTAGACATCTACTCCAAGCTTGTC